AGATAATCTGGTTCAACCCCTGAATTATATAAAATATAAAATCACTGCATGGTTGGTAAGAAAGTAAAACCTCTGTTGATGTGATGTGAGTAGAACGGCGAGGGATACATCCCTCTTTGGTAATTGAGCATCTAATGTATGCAAAGGCCTGAGCTTAGTAATGCAGGCTGCACAAAAATCTATGAAAGGCCATTGCAACATACAGTGTGATAGGGAGAGTAAGGTGGGTAGCAGCCACCATTTCTTGAGCAGTTCCTGTATGTCAGAGGCTGTACTGGACAGTATGAAAATTACATCTCACTTAATTCTCACAACACCAATGACATACATATTGCATCTGCATTTTACAGATGAAAAAACTGAAGATTCAAGAAATTAAATAATTTCTCCAGATACACTTAGAAAGTGGAAGAGCCAGGATTGGAAACCTAGGTCTACTCATCTCCAAGCCTGTGTTCTTAACCCCTTTGGTAAAATGGCAGGCAGCTAAAAAAAAATCAACTATAAATGATTTGAAAAGTTTTAGACTAAGTTTTGGGGTTTCAGAAAAGTGAGAGTTTATACCAAGCTGTAAAAAATAAGGGAAGCTTTGATAAGTTGGTATTTAGGATGAACCTTATAGGATTGTTGCTACTGACAGGTAAGGATGGGCAACCAAGATCAGAGAAGAGCAGAAGCAGAGACGTGGAGGTAGAAGTGGACTTGGGGGGAGGGGGGCTGTATAGCTCAAGTGGTAGAGCGCATGCTCAACGTAAATGAGGTCCTGGGTTCAATCCCCAGTACCTCTTCCAAGCAGAAATAAATGAATAAATCTAATCCTTAAAAAAAAAAAGGAATCTGGAAACTAAATCCAATTGAGTTGAAATGTAGAATATACATGACAATGGGCAATGAGACAAGGAAGGTTAGAAGGAAGCATGTATAGGAATTTGGGGAGCTAGTTAAAGTTTTTTAGCATTTATGGATGTTACAAGACTCAGTTTAATCAGCAAAGATTTTTGCTCATTGTCTATGTGGGAAATATAAGAGTCTAAATACATGTTGTGAATAATTGCAAGCAATTCCCCCATTAAAAAATATTGACTCTGCAAAAACATAATTTTCTAATGATTCAAGTTAAGTTGATTTCTCCAGTATAATTACACATTCAGCATGTCAGAAAAACAAGATAGAATAGTTTTATGATTATGTTTTTTGAGTCAAAGATAAAATCCATCCATCAGTGACTCCTGGAAAGAAACTTATTTGTATTTATGAGTATGGAGTGTTCAGGAGCTAAGAGCAGATTTTGAAATGGCTGATTTAGGATGGCTGTTTAAAATTCAGGGGCAATTTGGAGCAAGACTCTTTTCATATATCTATTTTAAAATTTTGTGTAATTTCTTTTTAATACTGTGTGATGCATCCTTAGCTTTCATCCAATCCTTTATACCTACTTTGCCCTTGAACCTGCTGCAAAGCATCAAGAGTGGAGTTAGGATGCCTGTTCAGGTTAATGGAATAATTACTGTTTCCTTGCCTCATTTTTTTTCTCATAGAAGTCAAATTTAATTCATATTGACAGTATTTTCTCTTTTATTTTTGTTTTAGATTGTACTTTTAAAGTATGGAATCTGGTGACTGGGCAGGAAACAATGTCACTGAGGGGTCATCCCAACAATGTCATATCAGTAAAATACTGTAATTGTACAAGTTTGGTCTTCACAGTGTCAACATCTTATATTAAGGTGTGGGATATCAGAGACTCAGCAAAGTGCATTCAAATGCTAATGTAAGGAACTTAAAGACAAATAGTATAAGGGGCAAATAGTCCTTGTTTATAAATATGAGAAAAAATAGGTCTGTGAATGAATTTTTGTTTATTTATACCTGTCTACTTGCAAGGAACATTAACGTGTTTACAGTAAGAATGCCGATAAAGTAAGGTGAAAAAAATTATTGAGAAAATAATATATAAGAGCTCAATATTAAACAGGAAGGGAGAAGTCATATTTGATCTGTAACTAAGTACACATTTCATATTTCCTCACTAACCAAATAAATAAGAAATTAAATTTTCATAGTATTTATTACTTATATAGTTAAATGATTTACATGCTTCTAAATGACTACCACTCCTTGGAAATGGCTGAAGTCACCATTGTAGATGGTGAAGAAGTACTTGCGACATTTAATTAGCATGTATCGAAAAACTGAGAGTTTTTTTTTTTTAGGACTTAACACTGCCTTGAGGTTTGCCCATATTTTATAACTTTAGGTTGTGTTGGATAATTGGAGGATGAGTTTGTTTTCTGTGTTTCTTATCATGTATGTCTTTAAAATGTACAGCAGATGATTCTTTTTGCCATAAGGTTGATGAACTGTTGTACATAATTAAAACTAAGGTGAATTCTGTTGGTTTAAATAAGATTAGAAATCATAGGAGTGGTTAATTTTTACTAATTTGTAGAGTGGGGTTTACTAACATTAAATTCTGTTTTGCATTTTGACAACTACTAATTATTTACTGTATTGAATACAAGTCTCTTGAGGGAAATTTTGTAGAAAAAGAACACTGTTATCTTATGTTAGAAATTTACCCATCCAGTTGACTCACTAAAATCTAATTTGAAAAGATTGATTATAACTTGATATTTTAGAAGTTAACTGAGAAAATGTTCCCAAATTTAAAAATACATCTGCCATTTAGAATTTAGCAGAGGAAATAGAAGTAAGTTATGGTTAAGCAATAGTAACTAATCCATATATGATTGGGTTAAAGTAAACAAAAACTAAAAATAATTTTAGAAATTCTCAGTGTCTTTAACTGAAAAGGGCAAATCTTACATATGAAAGGAATATCGGTAGGCTTGCCCCTCAGGGGACTTCTGGAATCTTCAGGAAGATGAATTACCTTTGTGACACTGCATCACTTGTTGAGTTTTTTTTTCTCATACATTTTATTTTATTTTATTTTATTTTCATATTTGCACTTGTTGAGTTTTTAAATCATTGTCATCTAATCTTTTCTGAATCATATTGAGGTCATCTTTAACTCAGGACCCAGAATTCCTAGTGTTTAAGAGACTTGCAAATTAAGAGTTTAAAACCATGTCATCTTGTTTTCTTCATTCATTCATTTATTTATCTGTCAAAATGTTCATTTATAAGTGCCAGTCACGTGTGTGTGAAGTGCTGTGCTAGGTAAGGTGCTTACAGTAGGCAGATCTGGTTGCCTGCAGCCAGTTTCCTAGGAATTTAAGGATTTCTAAGCCTGTTTTCCAGAAATGTGACTTATCTTGCTGTTTCACCTCTGTTAAGGTCTTCAGGTCAAATTCCTCTTGGAGAGGCCTGTTCTGCACGTACCAGCTGGACAGTTGCTATTCCTTCTGGGGAAAACCAGACCAGTCAAATTGCACTAAGTCCAACTGGCACCTTCCTCTATGCAGCTTCTGGAAATGCGGTCAGAATGTGGGATTTTAAAAGGCAGAATTTTAAAGGAAAATGTATTTCTTGTATATGGCAAATGTATTTTTTCACTCATTAATGCATGTGAAATCTAATTTTTATAACCCTAGAAGTTAATATAAAATCTTAGACTTTTCTGCTGAATACAACACTCCTAAATGTCTCTTCTGTCCTCATTAGCAAACTCACAATTCTCCTTCTTTAATCTCCATTGCTGGGGAAAATGTATACGAAGGAAAATAGCCTTCCTTAATATATGTCTCCCAGTTGTACTGTTTACTAAGAAGAGATCATGACTCTCACCCTAACCGCATCAGCACCTGTGAAATGATTGTTTTTTGTAACATCAGTCATGCATCTTACATCTCAAAAGTTTTCAGTTTATAAGCTTTACAACTTTGCACATAAATCCTCACAGGATTTTGGTGAATATGAAATAATATATATAAAAGATGAAGTAGTAAGAAGATGAAGTGAGTAGGAAAAGAAAAATGATAAATTGAAGTATGAGCTTTTATCCTTTATTTGAGTGTTTTAGTTCTTTCCATTTTGGCAGCAAGAGAAAATTTATTAGTTAACAAATATTAATTCAAGATCAATTACGGCAGGCACTGTACCAACACTGCGGTAGGTACTGGGGCTAAAGTCTAAGCCAGACAAACGTGGGGTCCACCATCTTAGAACTCATCGCATAAAGGAGGATAAAGGCCATTGAATAAGCAACTACAGGATACTGAGTTAAGTCTGCAATTCAGAAAATTCAGGTAATAATCCAATCTAGAAGGAATTTGTTACTGGTAAATAAGGGGAAAATTATTTTAGAAATTTTGAGGAATAACCAGTTATAACTTGTAATATTTTAATGCATGTCTGAAAAAGTTTAATAAATCTAATTTATATATAAATATATGAGAAAGAAAGAGAAAGAAAAAACACAGCCCTGAGTACTGTTTTAAAAATAAGGGGTAGAAAAATAAAAGGAATACTTGTTTAAGAAAATTAGGAAAGAGAGGAAGACTTGGTTAATTCTTGATTATATTAAACTTGTAGTCAGAGCACCATGGAGGAAGATACTTAGCCATAACATGAGGCAGAAAAGATCAGCTTTTGAAAATATTTACATTTTCTTTTATGCTGAAAAGTTAGAACCTTTGAAACCTGCCTGATTTCAGCAACATGATTAAATACAGATTCATCTTAACAAAGTAAGAAAAGAGTGTTCAAGAAATGGTAATATTCTGGAAGCCAAATATATCTCTGCATCCCAGCAGCTTGACTTGAGGCAGGACTATGAAACAAAGGTTCACTGTCACCCCCTGATAATTGACATCATGTTTTTCTACCAGTCAGATATATTGCTGGTCATTTTCATATCTTTAAAATAACTGAGGAAATGGACTACCTACTTCCTGGTGCACATGTGTGCACACATAGTGCCCATACATGTATGTGTATATGTGTATACATGTGTATATAAGATGGGTGTACATATACATGTATATGTATGTGTGAAAATATATGTGTGTAAAAAGTAATATTACTTTCTCCATATTGTTATTTTCTAGTTATATCAGTGACATAGTTGTTTTAATCCAATTTCACATTGGGCCTCATAACATCAGTCATATGTCTATAACACGTACAGACATTTAACAGGTTAAAGTTTACCTGGATTTAGGTTGGAGTTAAAATTAACATGTAGCAAGTTTTTGGATTTTTGATGCCTTTTTGTTTACTACTTGAATGACATTAGTCACTTTGGAATAACTTGTTTAGGACTTCTGACACTTCCATCATAGTTTGGCCATTTTTTGACTGTTAATTTGAACAGAGTTGTATAGAGGTGGAGTTAAATCAGAAGAAAATGAATGAGCAGTTTTATCAAAGAATATAGATTATTTTTATTGAGGCTTAGCCTTAGCATTCTAAGAAACCAAACAAAATTATTTTTCCTTTTTTTTTAACCAATTAAATTTTTTATGTAACAAAAGATACCATTTACATTAGAAATAAAACTTTATTCTGATATTTGCTGTTGGACTTACTTTTACTTTCTTTTTTTTTTTTCTGACAAAAGTTTATTACTTTGACACATAAAAGAGATGAAATGCTTCATCCCATTCAAATTCTAGAACAAGAATGAATCACTCATTTCCATATTTCTAAGCCATATATGTGAAGAAAGAATTTCAGAGACATT